CTCAAGGCCCCTACTCTATACTCTTCTGCCTCCCCTCTCTGCTTTGGCCTGCGACTTGCACAGGTCTTGTCCAGGCCCTGACCTGACCTGGCCTGACCTGGCCATCACCCCAGCTGGCCAATCAGAGCCATCTGGTGGATTACTCCGCTCTCTGAGAAACTAGCCAAATCACAGACACTTTGTAAACTTGCAGCTGTTGCCCTGTTGCTGGACTGTGGAGCCTGCCCCGACCCACCCCCAGTGCAGGAGGAAAACTCCTAGAGGTGGGGTCTGAGCTACGCCTGCACTGTAGCTACACAAAGAAGCCAGGTTGGTTCTCCCAGGCTTGTAGGCAGGCACTGTGGGTGAGCTGGGGAAGGAATGGGCATCTCACCCTACCCTGATTAGGCAAGACATTGCAGTCTCCAGCATTCAACCCTGCCTGAGTGCAGGGCCAAGCAGCACACCCCTGACCCCGGGGTCCTTCCATCAGCATCCCTCTCCCTCCCTGCAGGTGGCATCCCAAGCAACCTGCCTGGTTACGTTCTGGGCAGGCCATGGGCAGCATGCCCACACCCCATGGCCCTTCCCCCAGGAGATTCTGGAATGCTCCCACCAGGCTCCTGAGCTCCCGAGCTCCTGCCAGGCCTCCCCCAGCCCAGCCGGCCTCAAGCACCTCGGCTTCTCCTCCCCGAGGGAGGATGTAAAGGGTGTGCCCACAACAAGGCTCCAACAGAGACAATGGGACAGGAATGCCTTTGCTTCCGAACAAACACTGTGTGGGCTCGTACAATTGCCTTGGATTCTCATCCAAGAAACACATCTCACTGTTGGAGGGCACAGGAGGCTGGCCTGCCCCAGGCCGCCCACCTCCCTTTTCTGTGCCAGAGGTGGGGGAGGGAGAGTAAGTAGGCTGATCTCTTTGCTCCCTACCCAGGCCCTCGAACCCCAGGATGGGCAGTCTTCCTCCACAGAGTGACAGCAGGGCTAGGGGACAGTCCTGCCCACCCACCCAAGGGGTATTCCTGACTGCCCTGTTTTTGTTTCAATCATTTTTCTACTGTGCAAAGAACCAACGTAGCAGCACATTTACTATTATAGCCACTCTCAAGAGACCCTTCTGTGGCCTGAAGTCTGTGGACCACTGTGCAACCATCACCTTCAACACCTCCTCGGAACATGTGCCTCTCCCTCAGCCATCCCTATTGCCAAGCCCCTAGCAACCACCTTACTCATTTATAGTTCACTGAATTGTGGACTTGAGGAACGTCATGCAAGTAGAATCAGCTTCTATGCCCCTTTGTACTGGGTTCCTGTAGCGTGGTGTCTGGGGGTTCAGCTGTGTTGGGACCATGCCTTGTTTAAATTCAGGCAGTACTTCAAGGGTGGTCCTGTTGATCACAGTTCATCCATTGGTAGATGTCATAGTGCCCCTGCTTTTTCGGCTACTGTCAGCAGTGCGGTGGCTGACGTGGGCTAGCAAGTTGCCAAAAATTTTCTGAAACTTTTCTTGGAGTTTGATAAAGCAGTTACCTCCGCCAAGATACTAATCAGAGCACACACAAATGAAAAAGTGGCTTTGCCCCTCATTGGTCAAAACCCAGCTATCCCCAGGGAGCATGTGGCCTGGAGGAAATGGACTACTGAGTACTTAGGTTTGGGGCAAGGTAAACAAGAGTGGGAGGTTCTGCACTCAAGACAATGCAAGTTTCCAGGAGACTGGTACTCTCCCAAGGCCTGGGGGTCCCAGGGTGGGAGCCCATGGTAGACTGTGTCAGGGGCTCCTGGGGCAAGGCAAGGGGCAAACACCTGTTGGACACGAAGGGTGGCAAGTGTGACCAGGCGGCCAAGAATTCCCAAGGGGGCCAGAGAAGGAAGTGGACAGGGGTTACAGGGTTCCCTTTCAAAGATGGCTCCCCTGAGAAAGTCAGGCAGAAGACTTTGTCATGCTGTGTGGTTGTTGGCCCAACCCAGACTTCTTCAGGCTTGTGAGGCCCTGCATTGTGGCATCATGGGTGAAGCTCCAGCTTGCAATGCCAGCATCCCTTATGGGCATGTCAGCTGCTTCATTTCCCATCTAGCTTCCTTCCAGCTAATGCACAACCTGGGAGGCAGCAGATGATGGATCAAATACTTGGATCTCTGCCACCCACATGGGAAACGCGAATGGTGTTCTTGATTAGCTTCAGCCTGCCCCAGCACTGGCTGTTGTGGTCATTTAGGGCATGAACCAGTAGATGGATAAGTTCTTTCTCTCTGTTTATGTCTCTCTTTCTCCGTCACTTTGCCTTTGAAATAAATCAATCTTTACACACACACAGAGTCTTGGAGGGGAGAACCAGCCCCATAGCCTAGAGCCTCTGACCCTTGCAGGCAGGGCCCAGGTCCTGGCCAAGAGGGGGCATGACTGCTGGCCTGAAGGCATCTGGGCATGCCAGGGTACACAGTTACAGAGAAGAACAGGAAGACTTAGGAAGAACTGTACCGCAGCTCAGAGCTTGGTGAGCAGGAAGTAGCCAGCCACGGGCAGGGGAGGATAGCGTGAGACACAGATACCTGCCTGGCTGGGCACTGAAGCTGTCCACCTGACAGAAGAGGGAAGACCACCACTTTGTGTTGCTCTGACATTCTCGGGGCTCAGCTGCTCCCAAGACTTCCCACAATGCCAACTGACTCATCCCTGAACCTCAGAACCTGGCAGGCCCCAGGGGAGATTCGAGAGCCCCTGAGCAGCTGACCTTGGGAAGGAGTGTAGAAGGGCAGCAGGTGTCCAGGCGTGTTTGAGCCCACTCTTCCCTTCTTTCCTCCCTTGCAGTCCCCTCCTGGCTTCTCCTGTCCCTACCTACAGCCACCACCCACTCTGTCTTGAGAGTTCTCTTCCCACCACACATGCCTCACCTCCTCGCTTGCTGGTGATGTCTTTTTATTTGAACAGTGTTGTTGTTTTTTTTTTTTTGCTAGGTGTCAGGGGAAAACTTGCAAAAGGTTCTGGCAAGACCACCCAGAGCTCTTCTAAGGCTAGGTCTCATTTGCCCTGAAGCTGAGAGTCACAAGACCCTCTTAAGACCTTAGGGGCAGCCCCTTCCGGAGCTCCCAGTGAATCCCATGCAATCTGCTACAGCCCCCACCAATTTTTTTCCAGAACCTTCTTCCCTCTGTGGGCTTCCCATGTCCTCTGCAAGACCCTTCCAAGTTCATCCCTAGAACTACTCCCGATTACCAGGCACTGGCTTGGAATAAACCTGTCCCTGGCTGACTTTAAAGACCCTCAGCCCTGGGTCAGGGGAAGTAAGAAAACTCCAGAAGCACTGGAAGGGACAGAGCAGCTGTGCATTGTGGGGTGGTGCATAGTAGAGTTGCATCATTTACTGTTGTTGGATGTCTGAGTGATGGTAGGCATGCTCAGATGGAGCACACCTGTCATAGACACAGGTGTGGACAGGCAGGATGAGTTCCTACCAATGCGACTGCTAGACAAGACGTGTGTACACTTGCAGTGCTGGTCATGACATCATGCTCCTGTCCACAACTATGCCACCTGTATTTTCAGAAGCACTGAGGGTACGCGGCAGATAGCATAGGATGCAGATCCAGCTTCACCTCTTCCTCCCCTTCACAAGGGTGAAGGTGCCAGGGTGTCTTGCAGACCAGCTGCCTCTGGAGGACCTGAGTCCCTATGCCATTGCCCATATTTTGGGGCTTCAGCAGCAGCAGGTGAATTTGCCATGTGACAGAGTTGCCTCGGTGTCCAGTGTTTCCTAGGCAGGATAGTGGTGTCGGGGACAGCCACCCTGGCCAGTTGGTGCAAAGTAGAATGGAGGAAAAGGAAGAGGGGCTAAAGGAGGGACTCATGGTGACTGTTCTTGAGTTACCTTGGATATGAACGTCAAAGTGAACATGAATGGTCACAGCCATGCTGCTGGTGAGAGCTAACATGGGGAAGCGAGCAGGGCTTCCATCAGCTGATGAACAGGCCAGGCCAACTATGGGTCAGTACGTACCATGAAATACGCTTCAGCCATAAAAGGGAGAAGGCCTGGATACATACAGCACCGACAAACCAACAAGGCCCCATGTGACGTGAAAGCCAACCCCAGAACACTGAATATTGTAGGGGCTAATTCTATGCCCTGACTGCAAAGGCCAAAACAGTACAGAGACCCCAAATGAGGGGGCAGGGCAGGAGTGGGCACTGAATGCTAAGGCCAGGTTTCCCCAAAGGGGGCTGAAAATGCTCTCGACTTCATTAATGCTCTGAATTTCCTCAGAAGCACTGAGTTATGTAGTCCTACATGGTGATGTGTCTGTTATGTGAATTGTATCTCAGAGAGTGAATGAGATTGAGCAGTCAAGGACACCTGCCTCTGTGACTAAGCCAGCCAGATTCCTGTAAAGGAATCATGTTTCCCTAAGGATTTTCACTAGTATCTGTTAGCAGTAGGTGATGGGGACAGAGGCTTGTCCTACCTGTAGACCCACTGTGGTCTTCCCAAGGTTCAATCCTCCCCCACCCACCCATGGCATCCTAGGGCTCCTTAAAACCCATTGTAGGGGCTGGTGCCATGGCATAGCACGTTAAGCCACCACTTGTGACCCCAGCATCCCATATCTGTGTTCCTGGTTTAGCCCCAAATGACTCTGCATCCCATCCAGCTCCCTGCTAACATGCCTGGGATGGCAGTGGGAAATGCCCCGGGTGCTTGAGACCCTACCACACCCATGCGGGAGACCTGGATGGAGGTCCATATCCCTGGCTGTTGGCCTGGCCCAGCCCTGGCTGTTGTGGACATTCAGGGGAGTGAATCAGCAGATGGAAGATCTCTCCCCCTCCCTGCCCCTCTGCAACTGCCTTTCAACTGAATAAACAAATCTTCCAAATCAAGCAAAACAGGCTGAGGATAGCTGCTCCCAGGGCAGTTTTCTTCACATGGGGCGCTGCCCCTGGCCGGCCCTAGGGCATGTTTGTTGGGAGCTGTGCCCTCACCCCTAAGCTGTATCCTCCACCCCTCTCTCTTCTGCAGCTCTTGCAGTCTCAGGATGTGAAGGAAGATGCTGTTCTTTGCTGTTCAATGGAGGTAAGCACAGAGGCTCAGCCATCCCACCTCACCTACCTTGTATGTCTCTTATACCCTCCCGGTGGCAGGCACAAGCCCCAGCACAATGTGGGAGATGGCTTCAGGAACAACCATGAACTCCTGCTTCCAGAACGGTCCTCTCTAAACCAAAATGGATATGGATGGTGACAGCCATCTGCTACCACCTGCCCAGTGCCCCCTGCCCCCAAGACTGCCTGCTTGTAGCTCAGGCACGCCATACCAGTGACAGCACCAAACAACCCCCATCCATTCCCCCAGCAGATACCTTTGGTTTGGAAGCACTGGGTTTGAGTCAGTTGCCTCAGACTAAGTCCCGTGGGTGGGTGATGTCTACTCCAAAGTAGCACCCTTGGCAGGCACTGGCTCCTGTTCCTATCACCCTTAGCTGCCCTTCTTCCAGAACCTGAGCTGTGGCCCAGGGATGGGGTGGGTCTCAGCCTCCTGCACGCAGCCTAAGGTCCTGCTGAGTGTAGGGGAAGGAAGATGGCGTCAAGCATGGGGATCTGCCACACTTCCATGAGCACCCCTGTCGGGGCAACTTCTGCCCATGCCACATGACAAGAGGCTTGGGGGCCAGAAGCCCAGGTGTGGCTCTAGGTCTATAGGACGGGCACTCAGTATTTGAGATCCAACTGGGCACCCTCCGTGGGGCTTAGAACTGGCAGAGATAGAGGAGAAGGCAAGTGCCCTCCTCAGATCCAGGGCTGCTTAAGGACAGATCACACACAGGCACATGTCCAACAAGGACAAGGTATGTCAGGAAAGCCGAGGAAAGCCTTGTGCACAAGATAGAACCTTGGGCCTTGAGCTGTGAGGTTAGCATCCCGTTATTGGGACACTGGCTGTAGTCCCAGCTACTTCATTTCTGATCCAGCTCCTGGGAAAGCAGCAGAGGATGGCCCAAGTGCTTGGGCCCTGAACTCACATGGGACACCCGGATGGAGTTCCAGGCTCCTTGCCTCAGCTTGACCTAGTCCGGGTTGTTGTAACCATTTGGGGATAAAATCTCTCAATCTCTATCTCTTTTTCAAATAAATAAAAATCTCAAACAAAAAAAAAAAAAGGGAGGGGGAAGTGGGGCAGGCTGAGGGTGGCACTCCTTTGCAAGACCTGTGGACTGATGGCAGAGTACCCAAACCAGCAGGCTCCTTGGGCACTGGGGCTCTCCTAGGACAGGGCCCCTGCCTGGCCTCCTGACCCCCCACTGATTTTGCTCTCCTCCGCTGTGTCTCCCGTGTGGGCAGAGGTCAGGGCTGGGGCCTGGAGGTGGGATTGGGACAACCAAGAAGGCAGGGAAATAGGAGAGCGCCCTCCTCACGCTCTCAGGTTCCACACACACATGCAGGCAGTCATGAGGAAGCTCGTTTCTAGAAAGACACCCTCACAAGGGAAAACTAACCCTTGCCACCTGGTCACTGAAGGGAGGGCATAGGTGTCATTGGGGAGGGCTTCCTGTAGGAGGGAGCATCAGATGGATCTTTGACCAAGGGAGCTCAAAAGTGCCTCTCTGCACTTCCTCCCTCTGTCCCCACGCCCAGGCAGGAGCACCAAGACAGTGCCGCTAGTTCCTGTCCCATTGAATGGAGGCAGAGGAGAGGGTGGCGATGCACCTCAGGAGGAATCCAGCCCTCACCCCCTGCTTTCTGTCTGCCCACAGCTGCAGAGCACTGGCCGGCTGCTGGAGGAGCAGCTCCCAGAGATGATGGCCGAGCTCCTGGCCAGCGCCCGGGACAAGATGCTGTGCCCCTCTGAGTCAATGCTGACGCGCTCGCTGCTCTTGGAGGTCATCGAACTGCACGCCAACAGCTGGAACCCTCTGACGCCCCCCATCACGCAGTACTACAACAGAACCATCCAGAAACTGACAGCCTGACAGCCGGGGTGGGGTGGGGCCTGGCGGGTATCCCGCGGGCAGCTGGGGCCCTGGTGTGCTGGGCCAGATGGACAGGCAGGAGGACTGGAGTGGCCCTGGCGGGAGCAAGCAATAAGAAAGAAGGCAGGCAGAGCAGGGAGGGAGCGCGGGGAACACGGGATGCAATCCTCTAGAGGTGTGCCCCGCCCCCCAGCCCGAGCTCCACTGGGAAGCGTGTTTTGTTTCTTTTCATGGTGGCCCTGGCCTTGCTCGCTCCCGTCCTTTCCCCACCTGACCCCACCTCCATCCCAAAGCTTCGTGCGCCCCAGGAGGCTTCTGTCTGTGAGTCCTTGTTCACTCACTGGGTCATATGGGACCTCAGGGAGCTGAAAAAGTAGGTGGAGGCAGGAAGGAGGGCAGGCATTGTCCCAGCATGCTGTCAGCCGCAGTCGCCAACTGGCAGCAAGCGACATGTAGCAGATGTCCACGAGGACAAAGGCAGCCGAGGTCCCCACCAGCCGCCTTTGTCAGCCCGGCGGGGGCCCAGGGAGCCGCGTCGTTCTGCAGCCTCCGTGATTCCCGCCTCCCCCACCCCCACCCCCCAAGTCTCTATCCGCACTCGAGCCCTGGGCCCAGGGGGTCGACAGCAGGGAGCGGGAGTGGCCGCCGCTTTTGTTTTATTGCGTCTTACTTTTCAAAAGGCGGTTGCTTTGAAGTCTTCTTTTGGTTGAAAATGCCCGGTGCGAGCACCCCCTGATTAGGGGGAGATCCAGCCGCCCCCTCAGCAGCGGCTGCGGAGGATTCTGACCACAAGCAGATCGCTCCAGTAGCCAATTAGGATAATTGGAAACTTCTGCCCCGGCGGGGGTCCCTGCCGGAATCCCCAGGCCCCGGCGGCGGCTGCGACAGCAGTGCCTCTGCCTTCTGCTCTCCAAAGGACTGGAGCTTTGGCCTGCTGCTCGCTCGGACTGCACTCGGCTCCTCCAGGCCCCGGAGGAATTAAGGAGGCACGCGGGCTAAACTCACAAGGCCAGGCGGTGCCTCCCTGGAGAGCGCTTCACCAGCTGCTCCCGGCCCAGGCAGGGCGCCACTGGGGAAAGGACCTGCAAAGGACAGTCAGGTGACCAGGAGAGCTCATCAGGCGGACCATTCTGGGCTGGAGGTGAGACCCGGAAAGTGACAGGGGTCTGCCCAGGACTGTCTCCCAGCTGGGAGCCCACCCTCTGATGAGCCTCTTCTTCCCTCCCCAATCCCAAAAGGAACAAGGGGGGCTCAGTGGCTTCCTTATTTGCTCCTTGCTTGAGGCCAGACCACCCCCACCCCATGGACCATGCTGCAGACCCTTCTTGACTGCCTCTGGGTCAGACCACACTGTCTGGAGTGAGGGTGGGACCAGTATCCTTTTTCTCCTGAGTCCAGAGGCTTGGGGTGAGTGGAGAAAGACATCTCCCATCCTTGCAGGCTTTTCACACCAGCTACACCTGCCCCGCAAGCCCCAGGACAGGAGCCCCACAGCTTGACGGGAAAAGAGGGGTGCAGGGCATGGCCCAGACCTCCCTGGCCCTGGCCTCCTTCCTACCAAGCTTCCTCAAGTTTCCTCTTGTTGCCTTGCTGTGCCCTGCCCTGTTCCCTGCCAGTGGCACCATAAGTACAGCCTGGTCCCCAGGGTGACCAGCAGCTCTGCAGGAGGCCTCAAGTGTGGCCTGGGCTGGTGATGCCACGGAGCTCAGAAGGGAGCAGGAGACTGGTACAACCCTAGCCCGGCAAGCTGCACCTGTGCATCAGTGGGCCTTGTTTCCCCTAGGGGTGTGAGTGTGTGTGTGAGTGTGTGTGTGTGTGTGTGTACGTGCATGCGTGCCTGTGGTTTGCATCGACTAAGAATAAAGCCAAGGTCCCACTGGAAGAGAGAGACCTGGGGGGTTGGGGCTCAAGCCACAGAAGCAGCAGAGAGGTGAGCTCTCCTAGACTTGACATTGGCCTCAGAGAGCCTGAAGGGGCTCCCAAACACTGTGCAAGGAGGAAGGCTCCCCAGGGAATACCTTGGGGTTAACCCTTAGGGCTCAGGACCAGCCCCTCCTCGGCTTGAGGGCCAGAGCGTGAAGAAGTGAGCTATAAATATGTACACATATATAAATATATTTTTAATTACGTGTCGTGTCGCGGTGGCTCCGGACGTACGGTTTGCCTCATTTATTCCATTTGCTGGACTGTGCTTCCTGGCCGGAGCCGAACAGCACTCTCGGCTGCTTTTCTAAATGCAGTCTGCTGCTACTTTTTCAGGCATGGAAGGAAAACAGCAAAAATATATATATTTCAGAAACAGCAGTAAAGCAGCTTCCCACAGGAGGCAGCTCAGACAAGAACAGGGGAACTCCCAGAGATGCCCTGCAGCCTCCCAGGGCCCGATGTGCCCTACTGTGCCCAGAGAGGAGGGCCATGTCCCATTTGACTCCTGAATGTATTTGATGGGAAAACTGGATGCTGCATTCCTGGGCCAAGCCGCAGCTCCTGGCGTGTCCCAAGGGGTCCCAGTCACCAGCTGATGTGGCTGCCTCCTCCTGGTGGCTGCCAGGATGAGTGGGTCCTTGTTTTCCTCCAAAGCAGCGTGCTTGCCACAGCCCTGCTCCCCCAGGCCTGATGGTTGCAGCCCCATAAGGCTCCCCATCACCCCCCACTGAGGCCAAGCCAGGAGCCTCCAGCATCCTGTACCCCAAAACCCAGTCTTGTCTGCCCTAACCAGTCTGTAAACCCTTCCAGTTTGGGGCGTATCCTGTCCCTCCGTTGTAGATGTAAGTGTGGGCCGCGTCAGTATTTATTCTCCTTTTTCTTTTCTTTTCTCAAAGGGGTGGGGGCAGGGGTGTGGGAACTGTACCAGGGATCACGCCCCAGGCAGCTGCAGAGGCACACGCATCCCAGGCTGTCATCTAGCAACAGCCGCCAGCCAGCGCCTGGTCCCATGGACTCTGGGAGAGCTGACTCATGGTGCCCTGCTCCTCAGCCATCCAACATCCTGTTGAGACCCCTCTGGCTGGACCATTGAGGATGCAAACCGGAATGAAGAAGACCATCCTGTGCCCGGGAACACTTGTTGCGAGAGGGCTGGCCACAGGGCCTAAGCCAGTGGGCAGTCAAGTGACAGAAGGGCTCCGGCCCTTTCAGTTGCAGTGGAATTCCAAGGGATCACCTCCTCTCCATCCATATGTCCTGCTTCCCAACTGAACCCAAACTACAAGTGGGTTTAAAAAAATAAACAATACCAAACAAAAAAAGTGCCTTCCCTGTGTTCTCTGTGTGTGCAACCAAGTGTTCCCCTGGAAGGGCTTCAGTGCCTCCAGCGTCCGCTCTAGGTAACCCCTGGGACCAGGACAAGATGTTGGTGAAGGAGGCTGTACCTCTGTCCTCAGCCCTCAGGAGCTGCGACTTATAACTGCCTCACAGTCCTAGAGAAAATAATGTCCCCACTCAGAGCTCACATTGCTGCACACACAGTTGACCACAGTGGACCCAGCCCTTCTCAGGAAATGTCCCCATGGCCTTTGGCAATGACTCAATATAAGGCAGAGGCCTGGGCCATGCAGCTTTGAAAGTGGCAGCAAGGGATTGTCCAATCCCAGGTGCCAGATAGATCATTGATTCCAAAAGTCTCCATTGAGTTGTTTTCTTGTGATAACATGTCCCTTGTTTTGCACCATGTCCCTTCGGGACCAGACACTGGGAAGACAGCCTCTTGGTAACAGTGCCCTCTCTGGGGAGTCTTCCTGGTTAGCACTTGCTAGGTCTTCCAGCTCTGCCAGACTGTAGGGGCAGTGTCCAGCCCCTGTGTGCATCCCCAGCTAAGATGGCAGGTTTAGGAGGCTCTTGAACCCCTGGATTGCTGCGAGAGTGAGAAACCATTTCACACCAAGGAATCTCCACTTCCTGCCCTTTCCCCAGCTTCCTGGTCCCTTTACCTACCACTTGATGAATAACAGGTCCTGCCAAGTGCATGGTAAGTGCTCGGGTACTCTTCCAGAACAGTCTCCCCTCCCCTGCTTCCCTGCTGTGCACCCACAGATACAGCTACCCCACTTCTAATGCCAGGACCATGGAGCGGCACAGGTGATGGCACAGGTATGCCCCAGGGAGACCTTGCCTTCATCACAGAAGTTCATCTTTCTCATGCTGCCTTTACAGGAAAATGCTTTCTGGTCCCTGGAAGTGTTTGGTGCTGGTCTTAGTTCAAGCTGCTATCACAAAGTGTGATGAGCTAGGTAGCTGATACCCTAGCAATCTCTCAGAGCATGAGGGGTCTTGGGGAGAGATAGATCTCTTCCTAACCGCAGGTGACCAACTTCTATGGGGCAGCAGAGAGAGGGCACATGATTCCCTGGGGGTCTGTGAGAAGGACACTGACCCCTCTCATGAGAGCTCCAAGCTCATGACCTAATCTCTTGAAAGTGCCATTTCCTGCCCCACTGAGGGTGATGCTCTTGGCCTGAAATTTGAGGAGCCACAGCAACATGGGCTTGGGAAGTGACCACCGAAGGCAGTGCCCACCTCTTTGAAGAGCACCTGCAGGAGCTGCACCTGCCAATCAGCCAGCACCAAGGGGAATCGAGCAAAATGAGGGTTAAAGAACCACCCGTGGCCTTGAGTGCAGCTTCATAGTTTGCCTTCAGACCATCTTGTTACTCCTGCCAGGAATCATACCCCATTATAAAGATGGAAATATACTCAGAGGCAGAGGGACAAGCTTCCGTTGCCTGTCCGACACATAGAAACCACATCTGCGCCTCGAACTGCTGCCATCTCGGTCCTGAGCTGGACCAGATGGACACAGGATGGAGGTTGGTACCTGATCTCTAGTGCCCAAAGCCCCCCACACACCTTGTACTTGAATCTTCTCCTCCAGGCCTTGGGGTACAGCCTATGCCCCACTACCTGACCATGTGGGGAGCCCCATGTCTCAACTCTAAGCAGTCTCTGCCCGCCACAGCCTCTTTACTCACTCAGCTCCCTAGCTCTTCCTGTGAGACACCTGGGGATAAGGGGTGTGATTGGCTCTGGGTGGCAGAGAAAACTTAGAAGATGGCTGTGGGCCTGGCGCAGTAACTTGGTGGCTAAAATCTAAAGTCCTTACCTTGCATGCGCTGGAATCCCATATGGGTACCGGTTCTAATCCCAGTGACCCAGCTTCCCATCCAGCTCCCT